GACACGTACAGTCGTGGAAATTGCACAGCACGCTTCGCAACGACTCGGGGCTGACGCGGAAACCACGGCAGAAAAGAGTCCCAGAATCAAGTGAGGACGGCCACACAACGCATCACGCCTTTGGGCCACAGGAAGCCCCCAGCGTGCAGATGAGTTCTGTTCCGGGCGCGTCGTTGAGTTCAGCAAGTGAGCCTAGGCACCCACCTAACACCATCAGCTACACCGCACCGTGTGTATCGAACAGGCGGTCTCGCCAGCTGGTGCAGAGACATGACGCGCGAAAAACGCCCACCTGCTCATTTTGGAAGTTTGCAAGTGGACGGTTTGGAGGTTCTTAAGTAACACGAAGTGGTGCTGGCTGGGAAGTCTGCGACATTGCCTGCACGTATCAAGAAAACAGAGGGAAATACCTCACATGATCTAACCTAAGAGAACTGGGCAGATGTGAACCATCCAATACCACAATTAATAGAACACTGAAAGTTGTTGACGCAAAGTCACGGTCTAAGAGAGATTTTTTTAGAGTCATGCAAAGGCTCCATGAGACCAAAGGGTGGTTCTTTGAAGGGATAAGTAAGATCGACAGACCTCTGGCACGATTGAAAAACAAGCCACCAAGAGGTAACTGCTGCCATTACTGTGTTTGGTGCTGTTAATGGAAAGCCTTTTCTTATTTTGCAAATGTGGTGGTTGTAGCCTAGTCGTCTAATCTCATTGCGGACTGTTGATGATGCAAAAGCGATTCCGTTTTACAGCCACAGTCGTGGAAGCCAAGGCTGTTTGAGCAAGACAGAGGGAGGAAAAGCCAAGGCTTCCCCAGCTGAATGTTGGGGCTTCAGAAGCTTGTCTCCAGCAGCTGCCGAGGCCCTTTGTGAGCCGTCTGGCCACTCACGGGCCCGAGAGGGTCTGAGGCCGCTGGGAGCGGACTCTCCGCTCCTTTCGAACGAGGGGGCAACTGTAACTTGGACCAGATTTAAAACTGCTGGCAGAGGGCAGAAGTAGCCCAGTGAGTTCTTTCAAGTCAGCAAAAACTGTGTTTAAAATATCAGGGCGAGGGAGCGAAGGCCATGCGACCGGCCTGCACTCTCCGCTTTGCCGTCGGAATTTCAAATGGCGCTTCCACCTCGTCTTCTTCGGCACTTTCCCTCCCAAGAATCAGAGCTGAACAAACCCATCAAGTTAACGCCAGAACAACACAAGAAAGCCCAGGAGCAGGTAAAAGAAGCCCCACGGGCCGAGCGAGGCAGCGGCGGGCGAGAACGCCCAAGCCCCGTCCCCG